GTAGCCAGAAAGCTCCACGATTTTGAGACACAGCAAGGAGACGTGGCTGGAAAAGGATAAACCGGGGGAAGAGAAGGAAGAGCTTGTGTGGTCAGGCAGGGCTGAGGGCCTTGTAGATGAGAAAGACTTTTGTATTTTGGGCTGGGCACAGTGGCTTGCACACCTATAATCCCAGCACTTTGGGAGGCCAAGGCAGGAGAATTGCTTGAGCTCAGGAGTTCAAGACCAGCATGAGAACTTAAAGACCCTGTATCTACAAAAACAAACAAAGACCCTCCAGTGCTATCACAGTAAGATGGATTTACCGTCCTGCTGCAGTTCTGAACATGAAGCTTTAAAATCAAAAGGCTTTTTGCAATTTTGGCAACACCCTGGTTGACAGCAAAATCTGGCCTAAAAAAAAGAACACAAGGCTGTTTGTAATCTGTACTGATTTCATTTAGGGTGAATATTTGTACTTTGCTGTATATATACTACATTGAACTATGTGAAATTTTCTGCATGTCAAAAATGGTCAAGTATTTGGCTGGGTGCAGTGGCTCATGCCTGAAATCCCAGCAGCACTTTGGAAGAGGCTGAGGCGGGAAGATCGCTAGAGGTCAGGGTGCGACTGGCTATAGTACTGCCTGCCACTTCCAGCCTGATTTGACAGAGCCAGACCCTGTCTCCAAAACAATAAAATAAGCATTTGTATTTTAGGTGAATCGTGAGCAACAGAAGAGGTTTGGGCAGAGTGCTGCTTGATCACAGTTTACTTTATTCCAAGGTGAATAGAGGTTAGAGAGTGAAGAGCCAGGGCCCAGGAGAAACAGCCCACCCCTGTGACCTAGTGCTCCGTCCAGGCCGAACCTGAGGCTAGGTACTTCAGCGGCACCAGAAGGAATCGCAAGAGGCACCCCAAAGCCATCCCGAAATGAGGCCACTTGGGATTCCAAGAGAGGCACTAAACACAGGTGATCACCAGTTCAAAGCATTTGGGAGAACTGTACAGTGCGGCTGAAGAAAGGAGGTTCTGCAGACATGTCTGTGAGGGTCAGGATGCGGGTTTGTGAGGGAGTTTAAGGAATTTGGCCCAGGGCTGGGGCTGGTTTCTTTCATTCTTTCATTTTGCTGTTTGTTGTTTGGGGGTTTTTGAGACAGCATCTCATTCTGTCCCACCAGTGCAGTGCATGAGATCTCAGCTCACTGCAACATCTGCCTCCCAGGCTCAAATGATTCTCCTGCCTCAGCCTCCCGAGTAGCTGGGACTACAGGTGTGCACCACCACACTTGGCTAATTTTGTGTTTTTAGTAGAGACAGGAGTTTCACTCTGTGGCAGGATCTTGAACTCCTGACCTCAGGTGATCCATCACTTACCCCCAAGCCCCTCACAAAGTGCTAGGATTACAGCTGTGACCCACCGTGCCCACAGCCTCTTTCATTGTTTTGAGCAGCAATCCTTACCTTTATCCCAGTGCCTGGGAATGTTCAGGCCCCTGGCGTAGGACAGTGAAGCTCGCAGTGAAAACAGGCAGCCGAGGCGGGGAAGGGGGAGTGTTAGTGAGGTCAAGGCACTCGGTCAGGACAGAGAGAAAAAGGAGGAAACTGGAGGGCCCTACATGGAAGCTACGGCCCCCATCCTTGCAGCCGCTGGCGCCTGGCCAGGCAAGGAGTCTCCCAGGCCGGGCCTCGTTGGTTCCTGGCCACCTTCAGTCCTGATTTTGCCTCTGCAGTCAACTCCTGTGCCTCCTCCTGAGTCCTCTTGGCAGCCAGACCACTGATCTGCAGTGCCTGTGCGTGAGTGAAGTCCAACCCGAACCATCCGTGGCCTTTGAGCTGCCGTCGCGCAATGTGACCCGTGGCGAGCGGCGGAGTTCGATGTACTCTGGCGCGCGTGTGGTGCCTCACCAGCATCCTCACGCTGCGAGGCAGGCCCAGGCCGCCCCGCGTCATCTGCCGCGGAACACTCTATGGCGCCAAGAGCCTGGAGCTGCCCTTCAGGGGAGCCCGTAGGTGGCATGGACTTGGGTGGGAGCCACAGGAGGCAGAGACGGGCTCCTCTTGGATCCAAGCTCCCAAGGCTGACCAACGGCACAGAGCATAGGCCTATGCAGATTTGAAAGGTCATTCTCCTTTCCGGGTGGAGAGGAGAAGCCGCCCTGAGTTGCCTGGTGCTCTGACCTTTGGTATGAGCCCTCCCCAGGAGCCTCTCAGCACAAAGGTTGCCCTGGCACAAAAAGTCTCGTGCCAGTCCCAGTCAATTTAAAGATGCCCCGCTGTGTGAATACATTGACTGTATCACCCCAGCACGTCTCCAAAGTTCTCCAGTGTTGTCACCACCACCCGTAGCCCTAAGGCGCCGGGGTCTTCTCTGTCCTCCAGATCGACTGATGTGGGCCAAGATCGGGCCTGGGCGCTGTAGTCGCCTTTGCCATCCTGGTGCCATCGTCTGCTACAGCCCAGACAAGTGAGGTGCCAGCCGGGGCTGATCTTAGAGATGATCAAGGGACCTGGTGGGGAGATGGAGCCGAGGTGGGCGGGGAAGGTGGCACCTGAGTGTAGAAGGCAGGTCTGCTCTGGGATGTTCAGCGGGACAGGGGAGAGAGGTTCCTGTTAATTCCAGCCCCTGCTGGTTCAAGAGGCCACACCAGGGCCTGGGCTGGGCGCTACACACATCATTTGAGACCTGTTACCCATTCCTATTTGACGGCCTCCCTATCTCAGTAACTCTTTCACACTCCAGTTTAGTGGGGAAAGCCAGAGTCCCCTACAGCCACAGCATGGAGTCCCGCAAGCGCCGGCCAAGATTACACACATCTGTAGCAAAAAATATATGCCTTGGCTGGGTGCGTTGGCTCACACCTGTTATCCTGCACTTTGGGGGGCCAAGGCGGGAGGATTGCTTGAGGCCAGGAATCTGACACCGGCCTGGGCAGCCACAGCAAGACCACATCTCTAAAAAAATTTTTTTTTATTAGCCAGGGATGGGAGGCACACACCTGTAGTCCCAGCTACTTGGGAGGCCGAGGTGGAAGGATTGCTTGAGCTCAGGAATTAGAGGCCTGCCTGGGCAACACAGGGAGACCCCATCTACAAAAAAAATGAAAACATTAGCTGGGCGCAGTGGCACGTGCCTGTGGTCCCAGCTACTCCGGAGGCTAGGAGGAAGATCACTTGAGCCTGGGAGGTTGAGGCTGTAGTGAGCTGTAGTTCACCACTATACTCCAGTCTAGGTGACAAAGAGACCCTGTCTCTAAAAACAAACAAACAAGCAAACAAACAAACAAACAGAAAGCTTCTCCAGCCCCAAACCACAGCTCTATGGCCCAACTGAACTGTAGCCGTGTTTCTTCCTTGTGTGAACACACATCAGCTGTCTAGAAATAAATTCATCTCTCTGCTCCATCCTGGTGGCAGAGGAGCAGAAGACCCAGAGCCTGTGGAGGGGAACCTGGAGAATCAGACAGGGAGTCTGAAAAACAGCAGGACAGTGGCCAGGTAGCTCATCCACAGCCCGGCAGGGGAGCTGCAGAGGTGGGAAGGATGGGCTGTGTGGGCAGGAGGCTGGTTCTGAAGACTGATTGCCACATCTTGGGGATGGGTGGTAGAACTCTGAGGTCCTGAGCCAAACTCCTCAAAACACATGGGGTGCAGAAAGGGAGGGCAGAGGGAGGTCTGGCTGAGAGTCCTGCCCTACCAGAAGAACGTGACAGAGAGCCCCAGCTTCTCGGCAGGGGGACAACCCTCCCGTCCTGTTTCAGCAGCTGACTTCCGCATCTCTGAGGCACAGAGAAGTACGAGATGAGACCAGAGCCCTGCAGCGCCAGGCTGGCCTGGGAACCTGGATACCAGGATCACCGAGGGGAGCTGGGAGGGTCTGTGAGGCCAGGGGCAGGGTGAGGTGGCCTCCAGAGGAGGAGAGGAAGGACATTCCAGGCTGGGTTGGACCTGGAAGGCTTCAGGAGGAGGTGCCCAGGCTGAAGCTGTGTAGGGGGCGATGGGATGTGAGGCAAGGAACCCCTCCCTCTCCTGCCTGCGTCTGTGACTGCATTTCCTTCTCCCAATAGTCCCAAGAGTCTCTCTGCCCTGGTTCCTCACTGGCGCCCCAGGAGGTAGGTTCACGGGGGCCTCAGTGTGCCCTCCTCTGGGCCCTCCTTGGGCCTGGGGTTCAGCGTGCATGTCCGTGTGTCCTGTCAGGTGTCAAGGTAGTCTCTGATGAAGTTTGGGCCTGCCCGGTGGTGCTGGCTTTGTCTAGTCTGTCCTGTTGCAGCTCCTTTCTGTCTGTGGCCCCGTCCTGTGTGTCAAATTCCTGTGACTGGGGGTGGGAGCATGAGACCCACGTATGCTGCAGGACCTCCCAGATTGAGGAACCCATGCCGGATCAAAACATGGGGATCGTACCAAACCAGGTATTTTCCAGGAATTTGGAAAGATGGGGTCGACTGCGTGGCTTCCCAGCACTTTGAGAAGCTGGGGTGGTTGGATCACTTGAGGTCAGGAGTTCGAGACCAGCCAGGTCAACATGGTGAAACCCCATCTCTACTAAAAATACAAAAAATTAGCCAGGCGTGTTGGCAGGCGCCTGTAATCCCAGCTACTCAGGAGGCTGAGGCAGGAGAATTGCTTGAATCCCGGAGGTGGAGGTTGCAGTGAGCCGAGATCGAGCCATTACCCAATCCAGCCACAGGTCTCAAAAAAAAAAAAAAAAAAAAGAAGAAGAAGAAGAAAAGAAGAAGAAGAAGAAGAAGAAGAAGAAGAAGAAGAAGAAGAAGAAAGCTTCCTGGATAAACTGAATTTGTAGGCAGATTTCAAGCTCAGCAATGATTAACACTGGCAGAAGCTCCAGAGTGGGACCTGGTGACCGCTGGGCCTGCTGGGCCTGCGGTCCTTGAGAAAGGAGGTTGACACAGGGATTTATTTGGTACGGAACTCAGGAGCTCTGCGGGTGCAAACACTCTGGCCTCCGCATGGGGAAAAGGCAGGGAGCAGGACCCTGCTAATGGGTGATTTCCCCTCCTAGAGCGAGAGGCGCCTGGGATCTGAGAGGAGGCTGCTGGGCCTTCGGGGAGAACCCCCAGAGCTGGACCTGAGCTATTCTCACTCGGACCTGGGGAAACGGCCCACCAAGGACAGCTACACACTGACGGAGGAGCTAGCTGAGTATGCTGAAATCCGGGTCAAGTGAAGGAGCTGGGGGCAGCCCGTGTGGCTGACCCCCCTCAGGACCCTCGCTGGCCCCCACTGGCTGCGGGCTCCCTTCCTCCCAAAAGTAGCGGGGGCTGGGGCAGGAGGGGAATGAGGCAGGTGACAGTGAGGTCCTGGGGACCTGACCTCCCCCCCTCCTTCCCAGCTGCCCCTCCCTGCCAACACCCCCACGCCCTCATTACGGCTCCTTTCCAACCACCTTTACCCTCATCTGTCCGGAGAGGAGCTCTGTCTGTCCGTGTTATTTATTGCTACTTCCTGCCTGGTCTCCTGCCCCGACACCTGGCCCCAGGGCCTGTACAAAAGGGACATGAAATAAATGCCCCGAAGCCAAAGCCAGTCTAGATCCTGATGCTTTCTGACCCATCTTTGGGCAGCCTGCCATCCCACCGTCTACAGAACGATGACAGAATTTCTCCTTGTCCTCGGCTGAGCCTCGTGTGCAGGCAAGGGCCCAGGGATTTTAGCCTTGAACCCAAGGCCAGTGGCCATTAAGTTGCTTCCACTCTGAGCTGGTAGCTGCGGGCTGGGTCTGGTTTGACTTCTGGGTGATTTCACATAAAAATCCTCATGCTGGTTTCTGTTGCAGTCAGATCAGTTGACAGCACCAGGCTTGCACTTGCATGTGGCCATGACTTGCTGAAAGGGAGGGTCCTGTGCATTGGCCACAGTCCCCACCACTCCCTATTGTCCCACACCTGGCCGGCTTCTTACACTGAGATTACCTCCTGGTCCCTGCAGCTTGGAGTGCGAGCCGCAGATCTAGGTCTCACGAGCCCATGTTGGTTTCACCCCCATCTCTCATATTCATGCTGCAATTTGCAGTGTCAGCAAATTTTACACATCCCTACATTCAGTTCAAGAAATATTAATTAAGCACCAGCTGTATACCAAGCACTTTCCAGAGGCTCAGGCTATCCTGAGAAGGGTCTCCGAGGACAACTCTGTGACAGTGAGAACGCTGAGACTTAGGGAAGTTAGGTGATTTTCCCGGGGGTCCCGGAGCTCGGAAATGGTGTGGCCAGGCCCTGGGGTCAATTCTTCTGATTCAAATGCACTCTTTTCTCTTCCTTCCTTCCTTCCTTCTTTTCTTTTCTTTTCTTTTTTCTTTTCTTTTCTTTTCTTTTCTCTTTTCTTTTGTTTTCTTTCTTTCTTTCTTTCTTTCTCTTTCTCTTTCTTTCTTTTTCTTTCTCTCTTTCATTCTTTCTCTTTTCTTTTTTTTTTTTTTTTGATGGAGTCTTGCTCTATCGCCCAAACTGGAGTGCAGTAGTGCAATCTCAGCTCACTGCAACCTCTGCCTCCTGGGTTCAAGCGATTCTCCTGCCTCAGCCTCCCGAGTAGCTGAGATCACAGGCACCCGCCACCATGCCCAGCTAATTTTTGTATCAATTGCACTTTTTCTATAATGCCTGTCAGGAAGTAAAAAAGGGCCAGAATGTCTCGTGTAAATGGGATTAGTAACTAACAGTTGTTGAACGCTTTCTATGATTCTACCCAGTTTGCGTTAATTAATCTCCATTAACCTCATTTACCTTCCCTAACAACTATGACAATGGTTCTCAAAGTGTGGTCCCTAGGCAGCAGCAGCAGCAGCACCCGGGAGCTTGCTAAAAAGGCGAATTTTCAGGCCCCACCCCAGACTTCAGGAATCAAAAACCCTGGGGTGCGGCCCAGAAATCTGTGTTTTGAGAAGTCCTTGGTGGATTCTGATGCACGTGCATGTTTGAGAACAAGCGGCTGAAGCACGGAGAAGTTACATCAGTTCCACGGTCCCCAACTGTTAGCAGTGGAGCCCAGATTTGAGCCCCGACCACTGGCTGCAGAGGCCGCACTCCGACGTTGTGCTACACGGCTATCTTGGTGAGAACCAACAGCTGCTCACAGAGCCCGGGTGCTGGAGGAGCAGTAAGGTTAAGCTGTGGGCTGCAGGCAGTGAGAGCAGGGTTTCCTATACCGCAGCTCTCCCTGGTTTTCGTTTTGTTTTATTTTTTGTTTTTTTTTTGAGGTGGAGTCTCACTCTGTCATCCAGTCTGGAGTTCAGTGGCACGATCTTGGCTCACTACACCCTCTGCCTCCCAGGTTCAAGCGATTCTCCTGCCTCAGCCTCCTGAGTGGCTGGGACTACAGGCGCCCACCACACTCAGATAATTTTTGTATTTTTAGTAGAGACGAGGTTTCACCATGTTGGTCAGGCTGGTCTCGAACCCCTGACCTCAAGTGATCCACCCAACTCGGCCTCCCAAAGTGCTGGGATTACAGGCATGAGCCACCATGCCCGGCCTCTCCCTGCATTTTGAAGAAGGCAGAGGACACAGCACAGAGACCAAAAGAAAGGCCTAGAGGCAGGAAGAACAAACCAGGTCGGGAGTGGAGGTGACATGGGGCTGCTTGGCTGGGACGGGAAGTCCACATGCAGGAGGAAAGCAGACATGGGTGGGGGCCGGGCCGTGGGCAGTGGGAAGGGAGGCACTCTGTGGGGCCTGTCCACGCTGGCAGAGTGCATGCCCTTTCCGCACGGGGCTCACAGTCTTGCAGGGAGAAGGACATGAAAGAATCTCACGCACATATCAAACCACAACTGTGACACCTGCTCCCAAGGGGAAGCTCAGAGTCTTTACAGCAGGGGTCCCCAGTGCTGTACTGCACACACTGATACTGGTCTGTGGCCTGTTAGTGACTGGGCTGCACAGCAGGAGGTGAGCAGCCATCGAGCAAGCATGACCACCTGAGCTCCACCTCCTGTCAGATCAGCAACGGCTTTAGATTCTCGTAGCAGTACGATCCCTATTGTGAACGGTGCATGTGAGGGATCTAGGTTGCGTACTCACAGATCATGCCTGATGAACTGTCACTGTCTCCCATCAGCCCCGGATGGGACCATCTAGTTGTAGGGAAACAAGCTCAGGGCTCCCACTGATTCTACAGGATGGTGAGTTGTAGACTTACTTCATTATCTATCACAATGTAATAATAATAGAAATCAAGTGCACAATACATGTAATGTGCTTGAATCATCCCCAGCTCCCTCCCCACTCTCAGGTCCATGGAAAAATTGTCTTCCATGAAACCGATCCCTGGTGCCAAAAAGGTTGGGGACCGCTGTTTTACAGCATAGAATCTAAGTGTGACTTGAGGTCTGAGGGGGCAGGGGAGGCTTCCCTATGGGAGGAAACTCACATATGTGTGAAGGCCCCAAGTGGGAACATGTTTAGCAAAACTGCGAAATTCGAGGAGCTGAAGCAAGGCCGGAGAGGCCTGAGATGGGGCTGGGGATACACAGGGGCCTCTCGGCAGGCGGGAGGGAAGCCTCTTCCAGATCCCCTGCACACATGCTCACCAGCCCTGCCCGCCACACCTGTCCCCTGACGACAGACCCTGGCTCCAGTAGGTCTGGCCTGGGAGGACTTCGCCCAGAGGAGCAGAACATTGTCAATAACCAGGGATCGGGGAGTAACCCCGCTCTGCCCAAAGTGCAGCTTGAGGGCCCTGGGAGCCACTGTGACGCTACTGTGTATGCTTCATTTAGTATGCGCCAGAACAACAGGAAACCAGAATGCCAAACCGGCTTCACATGAGGCTAAGTCAAAATAAATAAATAAATAAATAAATAAATAAGAAAAAAAAAATCAATCAACTGAATTGATTTTTAAAATGTATTCAATACACATGTTGCAGGTGACTCATAGACAGGACAAAAGTCCTGAAGGTTGTATGCAAACCTCTGAAGTCTGGGAAACAATGAAGGAATTTGACACAAAGACCACCCTTAGGAGGGACTGGCACTCAACCATGGTGAATGTGTAGGACCGAGCCGGGCGCGGTGGCTCATGCCTGTAATCCCAGCACTTTGGGAGGCTGAGGCTGGTGGATGGCTTCAGCCCAGGAGTTTGAGATCAGTCTCAGCAACATATCAAGACCCTGTCTCTACAAAAAATACAAAAATTAGGCAGGTACAGCGGCATGCGCCTGTAGTCCTACCTACGCGGGAGGCTAAAGTGGGAGGATCATTTGAGCCCAGGAGATGGAGTTTGCAGTGAGCCCAGACTGAAACATTGCACTCCAGCCTGGGCAACAGAGTGAGACCCTGTCTCAAAAAAAAAAACCAAACAAACAAGTAGGACCTGAACTCGAGTTTGCTCTCAGACTTCCCCACCCAGCTCCTGGACCCCACCAGAACACCAGAATTCAACACATGCTCACTGAGCACCTCCGTGTGCCAGGCCTATGTCGGGCCCCAGGGTCACAGCAGTGCCCCCCACAAATCACTGTCTGGCCTCCCAGAGCTGACGTTCTGCAAAAGAGACAGACAACGATCCGAAAGACAAGCAAACACATGACCTCTGACAGTGAAGGAACCACAGAGGGGTGCAATGTCAGGCTGTGCTGGGTCAGGCTGCCATTTCAGAAAGAGAAGTCGTTTGACTTGAGACCGGAAGGAAGTGAGGAAGGGAGATCTGTGGGTTCCTGGGGAATGTGGGTCCAGGGAAAGCCAAAATCAAGTGCAAAGACCCCTGGCGAGAATGCACTTGTTACATTCATGGATCAAGAAGGAAAGAAGCATGCTTGAGTGGAGTGATGGAGGTGGAGTGGTTGCCCCCAGGAAGCTTGATTACACAGGGTTAGTAGGCCACAGGCAGGACTGGGGCTTGTTTGTTTGTTTGTTTGTTTTGAGACAGTCTCGCTCTGTTGCCCAGGCTGGAGTGCAGTGGCACAATCTCAGCTCACTTCAGCCTCTGCCTCCCGGGTTCAAGCGATTCTCCTGCCTCAGCCTCCTGAGTAGTTGGGATTACAAGCATGTACCACCACGCCAGTCTAATTTTTATATTTTTAGTAGAGACCGGGTTTCACCATGTTGGCCAGGCGGGTCTTGAACTCCTGACCTCAGGTGATCCACCCACCTCAGCCTCCCAAAGTGCTGAGAGTACGGACGTGAGCCACCCCATCCAGCAATGGAATTTAATTCTAGTTTTGTTTTGTTTTTGAGATGGAGTCTTGCTCTGTCACTGAGGCTAGAGTGCAGTGGCGTGATCTCAGCTCACTGCCACTTCTGCCTCCCGGGTTCAAGTGATTCACCTGCCTCAGCCTCCCAAGTAGCTGGGATTACAGGCACCCACCACCATGCCTGGCTAATTTTTGTATTTTAATAGACACAGGGTTTCATCATGTTGGCCAGACTGGTCTCGAACTCCTGACCTCAAGTTATCTGCCTGCCTCCGCCTGCCAAAGTGCTGGGATTACAAGTGTGAACCACCGCGCCCAGCCGGAACTTGGGCTTTCAAAGAGCACGTTGAGAAGCCGCTGGAGAAGTGAGCTCGGAGGGGTGTGATGGAGGGCTTGAGGCTTCAG